AGGATTGCACGGTTTTTATTTTGATGCAACCCCCACCCCATAGTATACTGTTCTATAAAGTTAACATTTAAGATCTTATAAACCAACACAACCTTCTATATGCCTAAAGGATTGCACGGTTTTTATTTTGATGCAACCCCCACCCCATAGTATACTGTTCTATAAAGTTAACATTTAAGATCTTATAAACCAACACAACCTTCTATATGCCTAAAGGATTGCAATGTTTTTACTTTGGTGACACTCCCAACCTAAAGTATACTGTTCTATAAAGTTAACATTTAGGATCTTATAAACCAACACAACCTTCTATATTCCTAAAGGATTGCAATGTTTTTACTTTGGTGACACTCCCAACCTAAAGTATACTGTTCTATAAAGTTAACATTTAGGATCTTATAAACCAACACAACCTTCTATATTCCTTGAATATTGCACTGTTTTTATTTTCGTGCCACCCTCTCCCCAACCCTTAACTCCACCTAATAGTAAACTTAATATTATAGTTAACATTTAGGATCTTAAGGCCATAGGGCAGATACAGTAGAGATACAGTAGAGTTAATATGATTCTTTTCCGAAAAATATGAAGGAATGGGGTGGTCAACACTATGAGAAGCCGCCTTTACTTTAACTATCGTGAGTCAGCTACCCTTCAGTGCTAGGTAATCAATGGGATATTCTCACTATATCCTACATTTGCTTCCCCATCACTGAAACGACATGAGTGTCTACTTTAATAGATCTAGCCAGGTAAATTACAACAGGATCTTTCTCTCACCCAGACCACAAACATACGTCCACGGGCGCCGACCTTAGAGGGCGCCAAAATGGGTTGGAAAAATAAATTGAAAAGTTGAGGGGGGTGCAAAGGTGCAAATCGAAAGTTTGAGGGGGGGAGGCGGGGTGCAAATCGAAATCTTGAAGGGGAGGGGGGCGTGCAAATCGAAAAGTTTGTCCCCGGGCGCCTCCCTCAAACTTTCGATTTGCACCCCCGTCAAACTTTCGATTACTTTTTCCAACCCATTTTGGCGCCCCCTAAGGTCGGCGACCGGGGACGTATGTCCCCCTGCCCCCCCCCCCACCCCCACCCCATCGCTACGCCTCTGGTGCAAAACACAAACTAATTATACTAATACATTTTAAGTTTGTGATATTTCGTGGAAATTATTTTTTTTTTATAATACTACAATGTGTATTTAATTGTTCTTTGTAGCTGCCTGCTACACAACACCATTGATGTTGCCACCACTCACCCATTTTAGCTGCATGCTACACAACACCATTGATGTTGCCACCACTCACCCATTTTAGCTGCCTGCTACACAACACCATTGATGTTGCCACCACTCACCCATTTTAGCTGCATGCTACACAACACCATTGATGTTGCCACCACTCATCACTTTAGCTGCATGCTACACAACACCACTGATGTTGCCAGCATTAACTAGTTTAGCTGCATGCTACACAACACCACTGATGTTGCCAGCATTAACTAGTTTAGCTGTTTGCTACACAACACCATTGATGTTGCCACCATTAACTAGTTGAGCTGCATGCTACACAACACCATTGATGTTGCCACCACTCATCACTTTAGCTGCATGCTACACAACACCACTGATGTTGCCAGCATTAACTAGTTTAGCTGCATGCTACACAACACCATTGATGTTGCCACCATTAACTAGTTGAGCTGCATGCTACACAACACCATTGATGTTGCCACCACTCATCACTTTAGCTGCATGCTACACAACACCACTGATGTTGCCAGCATTAACTAGTTTAGCTGCATGCTACACAACACCATTGATGTTGCCACCATTAACTAGTTGAGCTGCATGCTACACAACACCATTGATGTTGCCACCATTAAGTAGTTTAGCTGTTTGCTACAGAACACCATTGCTGTTGTCACCATTCACACGATTAGCTGTTTGCTACACAACACCATTGATGTTGCCACCATTCACTAGTTTAGCTGCATGCTACACAATACCATTGAGGTTGCCACCACTCACCCATTTTAGCTGCATGCTACACAACACCATTGATGTTGCCACCACTCACCCATTTTAGCTGCATGCTACACAACACCATTGATGTTGCCTCGTTGACTCTTGGCTCTCAAAAGAAAAATTACCTTTACCTTTTATTAAAAAGCATTGAGTGGATGTGTAGATTCTCGTAACTACTTAGCACAAAGTAATGCACGTCTAGCAAAACCGTTGTTTCAATCATAGACGTCATCATGGACTTGGCGAATGCGTAAATTCGTGCATCTACTTAACACACAAAGTAAACATATCTAGCAAAACCGTTTTTCTTTAAATCTTAGATGTCACAGAAATGTCGAAAGCATTATATAAGCTACGAACAAGAAGATAAATATGTATTGATTGTTAGCTGGTTTGTTTGTTATTAAACCCAAACTAATTTATTTCCGGATAAAGTGTTAATATATATATATATATATATATATATATATATATATATATATATATATATATATATATATATATAATTCTCTTCGTGGAGACCATAGAAAACACCAAGCAGTAATCGCGCTCCATTCCACCCCTACCCCTACATGGTCTGGTGAGCTGTGGTTCACGCTAAAAGTTTACAATCGTAGAGCCGGTTTAGTGACGGCTATTAGGGACAGATAATGTAGTTTGAAACGATTTTAAACTTAGGGGAGGTAACTAAGAGGAGGCTGCTTTCACGGGGGTGGGGGGGGGGTAGGGGTTGGGGAAAGGAGGGGGGGGTGGGGGTTATTGTCCTTAACGAGCTACTGATAGTGTTTTAAATCAAATATATTCAGTAGCAGCATTGGTACTGTCAAATTCACAAATTATGAATTACTGAAAAGTAGAAAATAAAACAACTAAATAGCGGCGTATAATACGCCGCGGGTCGGCTCGTATATAGGCTATATAATTCCCTAAGCGTGATCCATACAAGACACCACCAAGTAAAGGCTTAGCCGTTCCTTCCCCGCTCTCTAAACTTATCGCTACCACCCACACCCCACAAGTCTGGTGAGCTGTGGTTCACCCCGAATTTTTACAATGTGACGGCTATTAGGGGCAGATAATTCAGTTTTTAAACAATTTGAAACCAAGTTCTCCTTGATCTTTTCATTGACGTCTGTAAACTGTCGTCACACACGGCCGGTTTTATGGAGAGGGGAGGGGGGGAGGGAGGGGTGAAAGAGAGGGTAGTATCGAATTCACAAATTAGAATTACTGAAAAGTAGCAAATAAAACAACTAAATAGCGGCGTTTGCTTACGGCGCGGGTCAACTTGTTCTAAACATACGTTGTAGAGAAGGGGTCGTGCCTGGGGAGGGCACATCTGACCTCTAGGGAGGTATTCTCCCAGTTAGACACTGAACAAAGATCGATAATCAATTGTGGCGGGTCTTCTTTGTGCCTAATGCATGAGCTTGAGTTACCTGCCCGAGTGTAATTCTGCGTGCGTGTTATATTTAAGAAGAATGTGTTTACGAATTGTTGCAGTGGTATTCGTAACGTTAAGGGAAGATAATCGTGTGAAAAACATTAGATAACCGTAATTTCCATAATTTGATTTAATGTTACATTATGTGATGTTACAGCTGCAAAAAATGTAATTCATATTTAGAGGCAGTGGCGTAGCGAGGTTGGGTGTCACCCGGTGCGGCACTTAATGGTGTCACCCTCCCTAATATGCGTAGCGACTCTTCCCGGGGACAAACTTTCAAATTTTCGATTTCCACCCCCCCCCCCCTCTCAAACTTTTGATATGCACCCCCCCCCCCCCCTCAAATTTTTCTCTATATATTTTGCTATTTTTTGCCTTGGTGTCACCCTCCTAAATGGTGTCACCCGGTTCGGTCCGCACCCCCCTCGCTACGCCTCTGTTTAGAGGAAATTGTTTCGTTTACTTTTAATTGTTTTTTTTTTACGTCAGACATGTAATTTACAGCGTCCGTTTGCTTTGCAATTATCGTGTTAGTATTACAGTTTTCATCATCGGCTTGAGAGGACTGGTACAGATTAACAACAGTAATACTTCTTTCTGACATGTACTTTATCAAAGATGGTTTGAGTAGTGACCTACAAGGCTGTTAAATTTAAACCCAGCGTATACTTTATCGCATTTTCATTTGGTAAGTAATAGCTATCTAAAGCACACAACAAAAATTAAAGCATTTGACTATTAGAGAGGCAGGTTATTCTTTTTTAAAATATGCAGAATTATAAGGAAATACTCTCATGGGAATTATCCAAAGACTAGCGAAGGTAAAATTTACCTTACTGATCCATGTTCAATAAGATTAAAGCGCGGAACGCTTTCTCTTCTCCTAGACCTGTAATTTAAGTCGTCTTTTGTAAACCCTGACCTATATAATGTTTGCTGATCAGGTATCTTAGAAATCGGAGAAAATGTGATTCGATTTATTCTAAGTTAATAAATTGTTTTAGCTGACGTATATATATATATATATATATATATATATATATATATATATATATATATATATATATATATATATATATATATATACACGTCAGCTGCTACTTATTCTTTAACTAATATATATATAAAATAAATAAATAAATATATATATATATATATATATATATATATATATATATATATATATATATATATATATATATATATATATATATATATATATATTATGTATGTCCGTATTTTAATTAGTTTGTGTTTTGCACTGGTACCTTACTCAAGCTAGGGAAAGAAAATGAGGCTGGGCATAGTGCTGACTACATAATCTCTTCATAAGTCGAAGTTACAGAACTCTGCACCACGTGAACCATTGACCGTCAGGTTCGATACAGACATTTATGGTAACTTCCCTATTTAGAACTTACATAACCTATAAATTCTAGATTTCTGTAGTATTCTCTAGTATTCATAGTACACACCAAAAACTTATAATTTTAATTGCACGCTATTGCGCACCGATGTTCGCATATATTAAAAGTGGAAGCTACTAGATTTACCGTTCTCAACATCCTGCAAGTGGAAAATTTACATCATATTAATTTTTTAGCGGAGAGCATCTTTTGAAATGATTGTCTACGAAGGTTTTATCTTCTTTTTATTCTCGATTGTTCTCATTGGTAAGTCAGTGTAGGCCTACCTACCATTGGACTTATCTCTCAGTATTTAGATCTGCTTCTTGACCAAACCTTTCGCCTTAAACACTCTATTAATATATTTTGAGTTTTGTAAACATTAGTTACTGTAAGCTATGTTTTATTCGGCAGTTTAAATATCAATCAAGTCCATTGTAATAAATTAATGTTTAAACTTCTTTTAAGCTTAATCGACGTAAGGAAACATAAATGAGTAGAAAATTATAAACAATTAGTAGATCTAGATATACATATAAAGTAATCTTTTTTTATGGTAGTTTTTAACAAACAAAGAAATATATACTTGAAAAAGATTTGTGATAATCAAGAGACGCGAAATTTGGAGATTATCTAAAGCTGGATATACTACTGAACTAGATATACTACTACCCCTACTAAACCAACGTACTCTTCTATTGTAACACTGTTCTTATATCTTATATGCAACGAGTCCAAAGAAATCCAGATGGATTTTGAGAAAAATCTAGAAAATTTTAATTCAATTTTTTTTTAAACACGACCGTTTTAATTATCTATACACAACACAACAAACGTCAAACAGAAATTACAACTTAAGCTCAGAAAAAACAAAACCACGATCCATTCCAAGCCATTAAAATCATTATACCTAGCCATAACAACCCTAGTACTTAGCCATAAAAAGCCAAGTACCTATCCTTAACTACGAGCCTAGTACCTAGCCACAACAAGGCTAGTACCTAGCCATAAAAAGCCTAGTATTTAGCCATAAAAAGCCAAGTACCTAGCCTTAACAAACCTTGTACTTAACCATAACAGACCTAGTACAACAAACGTAGTGCCTATCCACAACGAGCCTAGTACCTAGCCACAACAAGGCTAGTACCTAGCCATAAAAAGCCTAGTACCTAGTAATAATAATCAGAAGCTTTTCTCTTCCGTTTATCAAAGTAGAAGTAGATAAGCATCATGAAAATTAATTGAATGTATTATAAGTGAAGCATGAGCGAGTTCAGAAAGTCAGAAAAGCAATGTCATTTTAAAAAAAAAACAGAATTTAACTTTTTCGTTAAGAAATGTTGTGAAGCTAAAAATGTTACATAAAAAATTCTAACATTGTTTATCGAGAACATCCATCTAAACTAAACCAATAAGTTTATGTTTTTTTTAAAATAATCGACACTTGTTATTATATTTTACACTGTAAGAATGCATCTTTTCACGTATTTGTTACATTTTTTAGTTACTGAAATTGCTTTCATTAATAAAAAAAAATGTTTTTAATTACAGGAACATCAGATGGAGCGAGAGGAATACGTGCAGCTGGTAAGTATAATTATTTACTTTTTAACAACTGTTTATCGGTCACGTTTAAGACAATAAATAAATGAGTTTTTTTACTTTAGTTTGGGAGGGGTGTTAAGTTACTTTTGTCTGTTGTCAATCCAGAGACAAAGGCCGCTGACAAGAGCTTTCCAGGCATCTCTGTCGTAGGCTAGTGTCCCCAGCTATTCCCTGGTGTATCCAATCTTCTTGGCGTCTTCTTCCGTAACCATGTCTCCAGGTCTTTCTTGGTCTGCCTCTTTTCTTTTTGCCCTTTTTAGATCCCAGGTGAGGACCTGTCTTGTTATGCTGGATACAGACTAAATTGTACGGACATTAGATCCAATGGTGGACCTTGTGGAAATAATGGACGTCGGCCTGGTAGTTTCCAATACATATTGGCTTTTACCACCCGGCTTCATAATTTCTCCATCAAGACATCCATTCTTTCCTAGGTCCTTCTTGTCTGTATTTCTCTGTCTGTGAGTTATTTTTTTACAATATAATATTGCTGACTTTATGCTCAACATGAAACCAGGTGGACCAGGGTGCTTCCTTTTTTGGCTGACCCCTACCCATGCTGATCTGCATAGCTTGTTTGTACCTGCCAAGAGTTTACACTCTAGCTAGTATAGCTCTGGGGGTCATGCTAGGAGTTTACACTGCCGCTGGTATAGCTCTGAGGGTCAAGCCAGGAGTTTACACTGCCGCTGGTATAGCTCTGAGGGTCCAGCCAGGAGTTTACACTGCCGCTGTTATAGCTCTTGGTGATATGACAGGAGTTTACACTGCCGCTGGTATAGCTCTGAGGGTCAAGCCAGGAGTTTACACTTTTGTTGGTATAGCTCTGAGGGTCAAGCCATGAGTTTACACTGCCGCTGGTATAGCTCTGAGGGTCATGCCAGGAGTTTACACTGCCGCTGGTATAGCTCTGGGGGTCATGCTAGGAGTTTAAACTCCCGCTGGTATAGCTCTGAGGGTCAAGCCAGGAGTTTACACTTTTGCTGGTATAGCTCTGAGGGTCAAGCCATGAGTTTACACTGCCGCTGGTATAGCTCTGAGGGTCAAGCCAGGAGTTTACACTGCCGCTGGTATAGCTCTGAGGGTCCAGCCAGGAGTTTACACTGCCGCTGTTATAGCTCTTGGTGATATGACAGGAGTTTACACTGCCGCTGGTATAGCTCTGAGGGTCAAGCCAGGAGTTTACACTTTTGTTGGTATAGCTCTGAGGGTCAAGCCATGAGTTTACACTGCCGCTGGTATAGCTCTGAGGGTCATGCCAGGAGTTTACACTGCCGCTGGTATAGCTCTGGGGGTCATGCTAGGAGTTTAAACTCCCGCTGGTATAGCTCTGAGGGTCAAGCCAGGAGTTTACACTTTTGCTGGTATAGCTCTGAGGGTCAAGCCATGAGTTTACACTGCCGCTGGTATAGCTCTGAGGGTCATGCCAGGAGTTTACACTGCCGCTGGTATAGCTCTGGGGGTCATGCTAGGAGTTTAAACTCCCGCTGGTATAGCTCTGGGGGTCATGCCAGGAGTTTACACTGCCGCTGGTATAGCTCTGAGGGTCATGCCAGGAGTTTACACTCCCTCTGGGGGTCGTGCCAGGAGTTTACACTCCAGCTGGTATAGCTCTGGGGGTCATGCCAGGAGTTTACACTCCCTCTGGGGGTCGTGCCAGGAGTTTACACTGCCGCTGGTATAGCTCTGGGGGTCATGCCAGGAGTTTACACTCCCGCTGGTATAGCTCTGAGGGTCATGCCAGGAGTTTACACTTTTGTTTGTATAGCTCTGAGGGTCAAGCCATGAGTTTACACTCCCGCTGGTATAGCTCGGGGGTCGTCAATGTACACAAGCTGTCAAGTCACGACAAGGCCTCCAACAGAAAAAGGCAGTTAGTTGGGGTGGGTGTCTGATTCTTTATGAGGTTAATTTTAACTTTAGTCGAGACGGGGTGGTAAATCGTCGTTTTAATACGCTTTAGACTAAAAATCATTTTTTTTTTTTTTTTTTTTTTTTAGAAAAAGGCTTGGCATAGATTAAAAACTATTAAACAAAATTGCAAAGGCAATGCACTCAGTACTGATTTCGTAAGTAAAGCGTCATTTCTGCGAACACAAACACAGGATGTAAAAGCAAAATAAAATGTTTTATCTGCCAACCCAATACATGATTATATAGATATATCTTATTAATAACAAACAATTGTATTAACAGATCCATTCCATAATCGCAGTGAGCAGTGTAAGTACAATAAAATATTAGCCATTTTACGTTTTTTTTCGCTTTTGTGAAATGTAAATACCGGGAGAGGAGAGAGAGAAGGGAGAGAGAGAGAGGAGGGTAGGGGGTGGTGATGACATCTGGTATGGAGCTAGAATAAGTGAAAAATTAGAGATGTTAACCTTATGTTAAAAGTGGTAAGTTTACAATATATATTGAGAGGGAGCTTTATGGAAAGCAACACTATAATCCTGGTTATTATGTTTTAAAATTTCTTTTCATTAGCCCACTCGTAACGTTCTTGTTGTTGCGTCTATGTTGGGGGGGGGGGGGGGGGGAATGAGAGTTTTATAAGTTACTATAGCGTGATAAAAAAAATTTTTAATAAAGATGTAAAAGAGTTGCTTACTTTCTGCAAAGAGAGCTCTTAAAAGATGAAATGCTGTAATTAAAGGTATATATGTCTACCAACTAAATCGCTATAAGCTTTGGTGTTTTAGGGTGTGTGTGGATGTGGATGTGGGAGCGGGTGGGGAAGTTGTCGCGGTGAGTTGTTGGGGTAGAGGTGGGTAAGTTACGGGCTGGAAAAGTTGTGAGTGGGAATGGAAATTAGTGGGGGTGGGAAGTTGTGGGATGGGGAAGGTGTTAGGGGGTGGGGAAGTTTGGGGGATTTGGGGAATGGGGAAGTTGTGAGGTGGGGAAGTTGTGGTGGGGAAGTTGTGAGGGAATGGGGAAGTTGTGGGGTGGGGAATTTGTGAGGGTGCGAGGAAGTTGGGGGGATGGGGAACTTTGGGGGTGGGAAAGTTTGGGGGGAGGGGACGTTGTGAGCGTTTGAATGTGATCACATGATGTCTATCAATAAAATTAACATTAAATATGTTTAGTGATTTGTAACAAAAATCAAATTTAGCCCATTATGTCTCGATAAAATGATATGTACAGTTTTAACACATTTCTCTTCACGGCACAAGACATTTTCTCCATACTCTTGCATACTTCAAGTACCGACACATTTAGTATAAGATCATCTCCAAAAGTTGTTGTTTTTTTTTACTTAAATACTTACACATTCTAATACAGTTAAACCCCTTGATGAAAAATCTTGCAAAAATTTGGATGCTTGCCTTCCAAAAGGGCGCATTCCCAAGATATTTTGCTGG